ATGCTGCGGCGCCCGGGGAGCAGTTGGGGGTTCGGTGCCTTGCTCAAGGGCACCTCAGTCGTGGTATTGAAGGTGGGAGAGAGTGCTGTACATTCACTCCCCCCACCTACAATCCCTGCCGGACCTGAGACTCAAACTCGCAACCTTTGGGTTACCAGTCCGACTCTCAAACCCATCGATAAGAAGTTAACTTCAAACATTTGCTTCTGGCTAAAATATGAGTCCTCTGTTTATAACATTGGTTACTCCAGCGTTTCAATTAACAGAAGAGCTTTTCACATGATGTTAACTGATGGACTGGAGTGGTGTGGATTATTGTGATGTTTTTATCAGCTGTTTGGACTCTCATTCTGACGGCACCCATTCACTGCAGAGATCCACTGGTGAGCAACTGATGGAATGCTACATTTCTACAAATCTGTTCTGATGAGCACACAAACTTATCTATATCTTGGATTGCCTGAGAGTGAATACATTAAGCAAAATTCCTTTAAATTTTATTTTAAGCTACTCATTTTGCATGGTAATATGTAGCTTATTTAAGCTATTGTAATTTTACATGGCACTATATCTTATTGTATACAGCTGTGCTGCAAACACTTTGCAGTACAAATATAAAGCTTCTATAAAGCCAGTGCAAAGTGCAAGAGTGAGAATGTAATTGTTCATCAGCTGTAATTGTCACTTTGATCTGATTCTTTAAATAGTTCGCAGAACTTCCTGTTTTTTTTCTTCTGAAGCAAGCACACTAAAAAACTGATGAAACAATGTAGTGGATTAAAAATAAATTATGCATATCTGATGTGAACTCTTACCCACATAAGCACCAAGCTCTTGCAACTTTCCTTTGATAGCAGTCTGAAAAATAAGAAATTACATTATTACAGGAGAAGACTAAACAAAATGTTATCTTCACTATACATTACTACTTAACAGACAAACACTAACTACCACGTTTAACCTTTACAAAACAGTACCGATGATGGCATCAGATGACAATCACGTGGCACTTTAGAACATATCATGGTACTGAAAGCTCATGTAACATAGTATTCATGGTATTCCCAACGTCCTGTTAAGAATACTATGGTACTTAGTGAAGATCACCGATATTCAAACACACAACAAACAAAACAACATTTTTACTATATTAAAAACAATCCAAACACATTTAATAATACAAAATTGCACATAAAATGCAAAAAAAAGAGCAACAACAGACACTCGCACTTAACAGGAAACATTCATTAAAACACAGCTGTAGGTTAGCGAGCACGCTAAACACTGCCGAGGTCTGCGCATTGTAAACGGCTTACCCTAATTTTCTTGCTGATCTCAGTTCCGATCTCCATATTTGTTTGGTTTGTTGTTTCCCCTCGGATTCAAGATATTATTTAAATGAAGAGGACATTGAGAAAATAAGCCAGAAGAACAGTTTGCTGTTGCTAGGCCTCGCGTGCCGCCTCTCTATTCATACTGCGCATGCGCAGCCAGTTGAGCACGACAGACTAGATCAGGCGCAGACAGGAAGCTGAGCACGACAGTATTAATAAAAACTAAATATAAGTGCCCGAGATGTACACGTTTTTTTAAACTGTCTTTTTAAATACCATTCTTTTAAATTGCTCACTTTGATATAAATACAACGAAATAAATGTGTTTTTTAATAATAATATTTTTTTCTTTTTCTTTTTCTATGTACTTAATGATTAGACCAATTGAGTCATTAACTAAATCTTTCCTATAGAAAATGGTATAAAACGTGTTTATTTATTTTTTTTAATCAACATGGATACAAATATTATAGGAACATGGCACATGTTTTAAACCGTTTTTAAATATTTCACCATCTTGGACAACTTATTTGTCAGTGACAGTTAATATAAATTATTTTTGAAGTCTACCTATTTTTTTTTTTACTGTGTATTTTAATTTTGTGAATTTTTTTTTATTATTATGAAATAATATATTGCTTTGTCTAATTTAAATGTTATTTGCGCCACTCCTCCAGTCCGCCAGGGTGCGCTAATGCACACGCACAGACACAGAACGGGCGGTAAACGATGAGCTGGCTCGGCAGGAACGCAGTGATCGGTCTCGGTGTCGGTGTGACGATCAGCACCGGCCTGATCGCATTATTGATAATTAAAGAAGCTCTCAGGAGGAGAAACCGCCGTCGCCTGCTGCTGCACAACACGAGCTCCGCGTTACAGAACGAAACCGGTATGAACCAAAATGACCAAAACACACCACAGCCTACATCTGTTGTATGACTCTGATGTGTGTGTGTGTGTGTGAATTACATTTTAAAATACTCGTAATCAGACTACCGTTACTTTTTAATGGGTTACATGTTATTTACACAATAGCAATACATTTTTCATAATTTATTGATTCTCCCTAATTCCTCTTTTTCATGTTAAATTTTCCTTTCTCAAAAAAACCTACCGCTTATATACACTCAGAAAGTCGTACAGTTTTGTGGACATTCACACAGAGATCAGTCATTAGTCAGGTGGCTACACTGCATTTGACCACTTGGATTTACAAAAATGTGATAAACAAGTTAGGTCAAAAGTAATTTAAAAGCAGTCTGATTATATTACTTAAAATGTGTAACATAATGCATTACGTTACTAGCTACAATTTTTGTCATGCAATTTGGAATCAGTAACAGATTACAATTTGTAAGTAATCTACCCAGCTCTGATTATATTCATTATTAGCCTATATATTTAGTTTTTTTCTCTTCATTTCATGCGTCTCTTTACCTAAAGTAAACAACACTAATTACATCTTTATAATTATACTTAATATTATAGCTTATTAATGACTAGCCAAACTAAAATGAAATGTTATAGCTTAATATAAATTTTAAATTCCCAAAATGTCATAGTCAAAGCTTTATTGGCATGATTGTTAAGCATTTACAAAACATATATGGAAATTTAATTATTAAAATACATAATAGATATGGTTAATTGAGTAACGAGATGCATAAAATGAAGGGGAAAATAAATATGTACAAAAATCAAAGTCGTACAGTTTTGTGGACATTCACACAGAGATCAGTCATTAGTCAGGTGGCTACACTGCATTTGACCACTTGGATTTACAAAAATGTGATAAACAAGTTAGGTCAAAAGTAATTTAAAAGCAGTCTGATTATATTACTTAAAATGTGTAACATAATGCATTACGTTACTATCTATCCAGCTCTGATTATATATTATTATATATTTAGTTTTTTTTCTCTTCATTTCATGCGTCTCTTTACCTAAAGTAAACAACACTAATCACATCTTTATAATTATACTTAATATTATAGCTTATTAATGACTAGCCAAACTAAAATTAAATGTTATAGCTTAATATAAATTTTAAATTCCCAAACTGTCATAGAGTCAAAGCTTTATTGGCATGATTGTTAAGCATTTACAGTATTTACAAAACATATATGGAAATTTAATTATTAAAATACATAATAGATATGGCTAATTGAGTAACGAGATAAAATTAAAAAAAACTTTTTTTTTTATGGATGGGCGCTTTTTATTTAACTTGTTTTGGACGGATGCATGAACACCCGCTGAGGGGCATTAAACAGCTTGAAAGATCAAAGACAATTTTTTATATAATTCCGACTGGATTCGTCTGAAAGAAGAAAGTCATATACACCTAGGATGACTTGAGGGTGAGTAATTTATGGGCTAATTTTCATTTTTGGGTGAACTAACCCTTTAAACAATAATCTACCCAGTGCCTTCTTTAAAAATAGATCAAACTCAAAATTTACAACAGTTTAACTTGGAAATTTAATTTTAAATATAATTTAGTACTATAAAATCCCATAAAAAATACAAAATATGAAATAAAAAACATTATTTAACTAAAATATAGTACATTAATTTAACTGAAGTAAAAAAAATTCTGTCATTATTGCCCGGGAAATGAGAAGCACCAGAGGGTTAAAGCAGCTTTACAGAAAATCATAATGTTCATGTTTATAATATCTTAATATATCCATGCCTTATAGTGACCTTTAGCAGATTAAAGCTAGGCAAATAATATAGATTACATTTTGTGACAATATAAACAATCACAGAGCCTATGATGAGTTTTGCAGATGAGTTTACCTGTTCGGTGTGATGATGTTTAATGTCATCAACCTCTTTAGTCCCATTTAGACAGTTGTTATCAACTGCCTTTTTTAAGACAAGTATAAAAAAAAATCACAAGTGAGTATTACTAATGTATTTTATAAAACGGGAAAATATCTTGAGCTTGTGTTAACCACAGAAAAAAGCCCATTTAAAAACAAACTGATTCTGGGATCTAACGTAAAAAACAGAATCTAAAGTAAAAAAAAAAAGTTAATCGCTGATGTTAACAAATGACCCATAATATCTGTGAGATGCACATGTTTGTGTGTGTTGTAGGTGAGCTCTCTGGGTTGGTTGGAGAGGAAAACTGCTGCCACGCTTTATGAGACTCCTCCCACATCCTCACTGAATGAAGCTCTGGAGAACTTCCTCAAGGTAAAGACGAGTCTTATGTACAGCTTCAACAACTGAGAAGATTCATTAAACTCATGCTGATGTTTCTGACTTGTCTGATCTCTAGGCAGAGGAGTTAAATCCAGGCTTCTCCAAAACAGTTCGCCTTTATATCGCCAAGGTAAATGTATTGTCTATAATGGGTTTATTCTTCAAGATGTGTCATTCTGTTAAGGCAAGACAGGCACTACAAGTGAAGAGAGTAATTGTCATTTTTAAACTAATAGATATCACCATTTCCCCGTTGATTAAAAACAGTCCATTAAGAAAATTATGTTATAGTACATGTTTTTCAGAACGGTATGTTTTTTTAAAAATAGGTAAATAATGCATTATCTAATTTAATACACATTTCCAGAACAGAAATCTAAACATTGGAGAAAGTCAGGTTTAAAATTATTGTTTCATTTTGTTGACATATTGAGGGGGTTTTGGATATGTATTTTATCACTCCATAAATCAGAAAAATGCTGTCAACACCCAGAAAAAATACACTTTAACAATGTTTTTAGGAGTCAAATGTTATTAAAATAAGGTAAATGATATATAAACAAACATAGATTGGAATAAATTTATGTAGGTGCTATTTAAGTGAAGATTTCTGACTCATTTTGAAGAAACAACTGTATGTAGGTTTTTTTTTTACCTTGAAATATCAGTTTCAGGATGATGGCACACTGACTTTTAGTGAGACGAACTGCTTCTGTTTCCCAAACGTCTGTTCTGGAAAAGTTTGGTGAGCGGAAAGGGTGAATTGCTTTATGGCAGCAACAAATGCACGTGTAGAGCAAGCGGCAACCTCCCGCTCTCTCTCGTGAAGCCAACAAGGAAGTGACTTAA